GCGTTCGGTTCCCGAATTCAAGACATTTTTACAATAGATTTTAATTAACCCACTTGTTGGTCGCTGTTGTAGCTTCTTGTGCTGTTACTCTGTTTTTACCCTCTGCTACAAACTTGAGCTGTGCAGTCTTGATCTTGATCGATGTTTCTTCTGCTCGATGAATAATGTCTGTGAAGTCATGACGTATTTTTGACAGTAAAGTTCCGTCTGTGAATTCGTATTCGTACTGATGAAAGCGTAATCGTAAATTTTCATTTCGTGATTGTAATTCATGACGTCGTAATTTTTCAATTCGTATTCTGATGGATAAAATACACACAATATATTTTATGTACGACTGGACTCATTTGAGAGTTTACAAATATTTATTTTATGCGCAGCTACAGCCAAATATGCACGGATTTCCCAAATACGCAAGGATTTCTATTTTATGCGCACGAATATTTTTGACAGCTTTCTTACTCCATACAAAAACCTCGTCCTTCTCCTTCTCAATCTCTTCCTTAAAACAAGTAAGTTGTTCATGTTCTGGCTCCAGTACAAGAGGAACTTTAAAATCTCCAGGTGCTCAATGCTGCGTCCATGTTTGGACAACGTCCATAAACACAGAGCACGCTCGCTGCGGTTGACGTCATCGTGTTTCCAGTGCACATGTGGGACACTTTTGGGCCATTTAACTGTTCACACTGGAGTCACATACAAGTCACATTTAATTGGAAATGTGAATGACCTCGCAAAAACATCGGATTTCACAAAAAAATCAGAATTGAGCGTTAAGCCCTGCAGTCTGAACGTAGCCTTAGTTTTCTTTTCATACATACACATTGCATTTGATTTTATGTGTTTTTTTAAATGTCGTCATTGTACTTGATTCTTTTATTTCTTTGTCAAGACTGTTCCATAAGTGAACTCCTTTCACAGTGACGCTTCCCTCCATAACCTGGGTTCTGAATCTGTGTTTTTTAAACATGTAGATTCTTTTTAAATCGTCGTGGTTTGTTCTCATCTCAAACATACTTTATATAATATTTAGAGGTAATACATTGCACTTTGCTTTATAAATGACTTTGAGGAGACTTAAGTCAACAATATCATGCATTTTTAACACTTTAAGTTGAACAACTACTCGGGAGGGGGTGGAGAGATACTGGTAACTCCTGAGATTCCTGCTAAAGAGACATTATTATTTAAAATGTTGTTATTAATATATAAACAACTTCTTGGTTTGGATGTTCACTCAATACATATAAGACTAATACAAATCCAGTCTTTACCCTGCAAAAAAAGACAATAAGAGCAATCACATTATCAACTTATGACGAACCAACCAGTGCATTATTTATAAACCTTCAAACGCTGAAATTTTATGATTTAGTCGACCTTTATACTCTGAAAATCATGTTCAAAGTAAACAACAATCTCCTGTCAAAATCTTTACAGAACATGTTCAAAATCCGAAAGAGCCGATATGAGCTCAGAGGTACGACCATGTTTATCAAAAAGAAAATCAGAACAAACATTATGAAATTTTGTAAATCTGTTAAAGGGCTGGAGCTCTGGAACAACTGTACAGAAAACCTCAAATTGTGCCCCAGTGTCTTTCACTTTATAAAGAAGTTTAAATGTTTAACTCTGGACAGATACATGAAATATGAGACTTAGTTTGTGCTGTAGAACTTTGTTGTTTTGTTTCTGATTTGTTTGTTTCCTCCTGCTGTATTTTTGAAGATGAACCGGTGTCAAGATGACGCTCTGACACAGGAATAAAGGGTAAAGGCAGAATAAACTTAAGCTTCAGCCTGCACCTTTTCGGTCTGTGTATGTTAAATATGACTGTTTGTGAATTCATGTCAAAATATACCTGTGACCAAAATAAATAAATAAAATAAAATAAAAATAAAGATCAAGAAGAACCTGGGAAACAGAAACCCAGTGCGGGATAGGTTCTACTGCTTAGTACACCCAGTTAGGTTAGCTTATTCAATTTAAAGTATTATACAGAGTTCATTATTCAAAATCTCTCTTAGCAGAAATTTACCCACAGGCAGTGTTGGGGAGTAACAGATTACATGTACCGGAGTTACATAATCAGAGTACAAATTATGAGTGTGTTCAGTTAGTTCAGTTACAGTTACTGTTTTAATGAGAGGTAATTGGATTACAGTTACTTTGTTGAAATAAGTGGATTACATGGCAGTATTTTCCTGTTTTCACATTTTGGGCTATATCCCTTTTTTTTTTTTTCACTCATTGCCAGGACACCAGAATCTAAACTGGGTCTAAACCAAGACTAAACCAGTTTTAAATCAGGTCTAAACCGGGTCTAAACCAGTTCTAAACTAGGTCTAAACCAAGACTAAACCAGTTCTAAACTAGGTCTAAACCAAGACTAAACCAGGACTAAACCAGGTCTAAACCAAGACTAAACCAGGACTAAAACTAGGTCTAAACTGGGTCTAAACCAAGACTAAACCAGGTCTAAACCAGGACTAAACCAGTTCTAAAACAGGATTTAAGTGGACTAAATCATGCTGCATGGACCGTGTTTCCTCTTCTTCTATTAATAATAATTTTAATTTGGTTAAGTAAAAACTCGGCTTTTTTTATTTTCTTTTAGCAGACAAAACATCTTATGTGAAGATTTCCTCGTTTTTGCTTCTCTACAGCAAATCAAGTAATCCAAAGTATTCAGATTACATTACTCACTTTAAGTAATTTAATGGATTCTGTTACAAAGTACATTTTGGGGTATGTAATCTGTAATCTGTAGGGGAATACATTTTAAAAGTCACCTTCCCCACACTGCCCACAGGTTACAGACCAGTGTGAGAGATGTCATGCCGGCCCATGTAACTTGAGTCACATGTTCTTTTTGTGCCCAAAATGACTTAATTACTGGAGACAATATGCTGAAATACTTTCTAACGCTCTACAAGTTAAAGTTGACCTTAACCCATTTTTAGTTATATTTGGTCTCCCACTACTAACTAATACTTTACTAACTGACAATACTCATTTCAAAATACTCGCCTGTACTTCACTCATAGCTCAACACAATATTTTGCTTCTCTGGAAATCTGCTGCAGTTCCTTTAATATCTCAGTGGTTTCGTGATGTATTAGGATTTCTTAAATTGGAAAAGATTAATATTCCAACTAAGGGCAATGAAGAAAGTTTTGAACAGAAATGGGGTTTGTTTATGGAATACTGCAAATCATTAAAAACTCTGCCTTTAGACTAACAGACTGACCCTCCCCGCCACCCTACTGTCTCCTCTCCTCTCTCTTCCTCTCTCTCTTTACCTTTTTCATTTTTATTGTTCACCATCATAATTATTATTATCTTTGTTTGATTGTTTGCCTTTGCTTCATTTTTGATAATATTTGGATTTGGTCTTTATTATTAAGATGGTGTTTTCCTTTTGAAAATAAGAAAAATATACAAGGAAAAATAATTGTGATTTGTAAATCCTGTATGAGTATATTGTGATTCCTTAATAAAAATAAATAAATAAACAGTGTTGGGGAGTAACAGATTACATGTACTGGAGTTACGTAATCAGAGTACAAGTTATGAGTAACTGTATTCAGTTACAGTTACTGTTTCAGTGAGTGGTAATTAGATTACAGTTACTTTGTTGGAATAAGTGGATTACACGGCGGTATTTTTCTGTTTTTACATTTGGAGCTATATCCCCCCCCCCCTTTTTTTTTTTTTTTTTTTTTTTTTTTCAGTAATTCCACTCATTCCCGCACACTAAACCAGGTCTAAAACCAGGTCTAAACTAGGCCTAAACCAGGACTAAACCAGGTCTAAACCAGGTCTAAAATCAGGTCTAAACCAGGTTTAAACAGGTCTAAAACAGGATTTAACAGGACTAAACCAGGACTAAACCAGGTCTAAACCAGGTCTAAACCAGGACTAAACCAGGACTAAACCAGGTCTAAAATCAGGTCTAAACCAGGATTTAACAGGACTAAACCAGGTCTAAAATCAGGTCTAAACCAGGTTTAAAACAGGATTTAACAGGACTAAACCATGCCACGCGGACCATGTTTCCTCCTCTTCTAACAATAATATTTTTAATATGGTTAAGGAAAGTCTAGGCTTTTTATTTTCTTTTATCAGACAAAATATTTTATGTGAAGATTTCCTCGTCTTTGCTTCTCTATGGCAAATCAAGTAATCCAAAGTATTCAGATTACGTTACTCACTTTAAGTAATTTAATGGATTACTGTTACAAACTACATTTTGGGATATGTAATCTGTAATCTGTAGGGGAATACATTTTAAAAGTCACCTTCCCAACACTGTAAATAAATAAATTAATTAATTAATTAAATTAAATGTTGTTGTTATTATTTTATATTATACTTGTTCTGGATTCAATGTTTAAGCAAAACTATTATTAAACATTTATTTGAATAAGAAATGGTTTAACATATCTCGAAAGAAGAGAAAACATGCAGATGTTGTTGAAATTTGACTATAAATATTTAGTTTGGCCCACGACTTAGTCCCAGTTTTTAATTTTGGCCCTTTGTGAATTTAAGTTTGACCCTCCTGCCATAACGGGTAGGATATATCTTTTTATTTACCCTACTCAAAGAATTTAGTTTGCCAATTCTCATGCGTAAATCTAGAGACAATCTTGATTCTCGTTCACAGAAGTCACTGAGAGATGGAGAAGATATGTGAGATTTTACAAATATTTACATTATAAAACGGACTGTTATGATGTCATGTTTTGTTTGTTTTTTTGTTTTTTGGAACAGGCTGCCATGTTTGAGCCCTTTCTGAAATCTGTGTCAAACGCGATTGGCTGCTGGCGTCCGTCCTGCGTTTGTGCGTGCGGGACATCGGGAGAGTGCGTGACGTCCCCCTCGGCCTCTGATTGGACGGCTCTGGGGGTTAAAGCGAGGAGGGAGAGAGGCACTAGATCTTCCCCAAAGCGTAGCCGGCCTCTGATCCGGCTTCATTCTATTTCAGACGCGGGATATGTGTCCGACGAGTTGGTGATCCTCGCGCGTAACGGGACCTTCTCCAAAAAAAACAAAAAAAAACAAAGCAAACTTACCTTTCAAACTGTTGCGCGCGTTCTTCTGCACTCGGCTCGTCTCCAAGCAAACCGGGACGCTCTCTGGACTTGAGGGAATACTTGGGACTATCCCGAGATGGAGTATACGTCATCCCCCAAACCGCAGCTTTCGTCGCGGGCCAACGCTTTTTCCATAGCCGCGCTCATGTCCAGCGGCAAGCCCAAGGACAAGGAGACGGAGGAGAGCACGATCAAACCGCTCGGTAAGTCCCGCTCTGTCCCGCTGCAGCGCGACGTCCCGGTGCGTCAGGAGCAGAGCAGTCCGGAGAAACAAAACTACACCAGATTTAAAAAGAAAATTCGAGCTTCGTTACGGTTTACTTTGAGTTTAATCGCGCACAAATCGAATAACAAGAACGGCAGAGAAAGGGCATGACCTCGGACGCATTTGTACGATGTTTGTGCGTCAAAAGATGCACGTTGTCAGGTCAAAGTTACGTTATTGTGCGTAAAACGTATTGGCTACTATTATTATTATTTACCACCTCACGTTTAGTCGCGTTTTCTGTCAAAATATTCTCCCAATTTGTAATTTTCTTAGGCAGCTTTGCGTAATTTTCTGTTTGTTTGTTTTTTGTTTTTTTCTCCTTTACGGCCTTGTCTTGTTTAAAATATTATAGGCTATTATCTGAACTTCATTTGCTGATAGTAGGCCTAATATTAGCCTGTACTTATCACAAAGTCTAGTTTTTAGTTTCTAAATATAGCTCTGCGCGGTGCTGTTACGCGCGTAGCTGTTGCTGTTTTCTGTGCAAGCAAATAGAGACAAAAGTGTTTCTGCTTTAGAACGCAGCTGTTATTTTAATATTATGGTAAATTAATGAGAATTGTTGGCTAAATTTAAAAAAAAAAAACGCTTTTGTTTAATAATGGTAATAGTTATAGCCCCTACATCTTATTTTCATCCAATTTATTTATGTGTAATTGTCACTAGATTTACTCACGGACAAAGCGGATGATGAACTAAAGAAAGCGGCCAATAACACGCCTGTAGCCTAGTCCTACTATTTTTTAAAAGAGTAAATAATAATAATAGAGTGGTGTGTGTGTCCTGTGGCGGTGTGGCGCGTTATGGATCATGTCTCCATCGTGTCCTTCTCTGGTGTTTGCTGTAAACTCTGAGCTCACGGGGAGATCTCGCGCCCTGACCCGTGTCCGCGTGTGTGCGCACAGAGCAGTTCGTGGAGAAGTCTTCCTGTGAGCAGCAGCAGGCCCTGGCCTCTCTGGACATGGCCTCTCTGGACGCGCACGGAGACTTCAGCAGCGGGGGCGCGCCTAGTGTGTGCACGGAGCCGCTCATCCCCACCAACCCCGGCGTGCCCAGCGAGGAGATGGCGAAGATCAGCTGCAGCCTGGAGACCAAAGAGCTGTGGGACAAGTTCCACGAGCTCGGCACCGAGATGATCATCACCAAGTCCGGGAGGTGAGCGCTGCACGCGGGTCCCGGGGCATTTATCTGTAAAGCTCCCCGCTACAACTGTTAGAAAAGATCAGCCTGCCATGATCAGGAGCTAAATGATCCTTTAACTATGTAAATACAATATAAAAGACTTTTGTACTATTCACTGTTATTGTTTTGTGTCCTGTCATTACACGGACAGGTCTGTTTTGTATCGTCTGTTACGTCTGTTGCTTTGACACAGAAAAAATAGAACAAGATGCTAATATCAAATATTAAATAATGTTACATATAGAATAAACATGTGATTAATTCATAAGGCAATTACTGACTTGATATTTTATTATAAGTGTTACATTTAACAGAACAGACGCTGTGCGCTCTGCGGCCCTTGATTAGAATAGCCTTTTATTAGGCCAAATCTTCTCCACACTATTAGAGCTAAATTAGGCTCTTCACAATAACAGTGTGCACTGAACATATTTGATTGGCTGAATAAAATTACATTATAGTCTACTTTGGCATTATTAGGATATGGGCTGTGCGCTTCAGTTAGGACAGGCCACGGCGACAGACACCAGGTCCTGAGGAAAAAAGAAAAAAATAATAATTATAAATAAATAAATAAAAATGTAGGGCTTATTGAAACGAAAGGGTTTTAGAGCTAAACATTTATTTCCAAAGCCTGACCGTGCGAATGTGCTGAAGCTCGTTGTTGTGGCCGCAGGAGGATGTTCCCCACCATCCGCGTGTCCTTCTCGGGGGTGGAGCAGGACTCTCGGTACATCGTGCTCATGGACATCGTGCCCGTGGACAACAAGCGTTACCGTTACGCTTACCACCGCTCCTCGTGGCTGGTGGCGGGAAAGGCCGATCCTCCACTTCCGGCCAGGTGAGTCTTTTGCTCTTCCAGCACGCGCCACAGTTGGCCTTCTGCACACCGCCCGCAACATCATCAACTCAACATTTTACTGAAAAATGCCAAAATGCTGTTACACATTAGCTTTATTTTTGTTTACACACAGCGCTACACAGTTTTATTTATTTATATATTTATTTATTCAATTGTCCAGTAAATTTACGCATGTCCCGTTTGTGCGTCAGGCTGTACGTGCACCCGGACTCGCCGTTCACCGGAGAGCAGCTCCTCAAGCAGATGGTGTCCTTCGAGAAAGTCAAACTCACCAACAACGAGCTGGACCAGCACGGCCACGTAAGACTGATGCATTTATCTCACACATTTATCTTTATGTTTCGACCGCAGCACAGTCACATGTAACATCCGAAAAGCATCCGAGTGCAGAGCGCAGAGCCGTGTGCAGAACAGAGCGCGCTGTCCAGGCCCGCGGATAATAATAATAATAATAATAATAATAATAATAATAATAATAATAATAATAATAATAATAATAATAATAATAATAATAATAATAATAATTTGTATCATGAATGCTGTCTGATTTCTTTTCGTTTTTTTTCTTTTTTCTTTTTTTTTATGAGTCTATAAAATATACAATCTATGGCATTTAACTTTGTGTGTTTTAAATTACTACTATTATAGACTACCATATACTATATAATATTTTTAAGCATTTGTTTTACATTAATTACATCTAATTTTTAATTCATGTTTCAACAGACAAAAATAATAATCTGGTGAGAAATAATGAAAAAGAAAAAAGTCAAAAGGACCCTGCTGATCCACACAATACAGAGCAGTGAAAGTGCAGCAGAATACAAGGAGTTTTACATTAGTATTTACACAGGTTTAAGAGCGTCTGGTCACAAACGACATTTTAAGATAAATGTAATGCAACAAGACAACAATATAACACACAAGTTAAATTCAATGAAAAGAGGAAGGCTGAAAATCAAATGGAAGCAAAAACGCAAAAAAAAAAAAAAGGGAGCTGCACAGGTTTCTGAACGGGACCAAATAGAAGAGTTTCAAAATGCCAAAATACTGTGAATTGAATACAACATATAAACTACAAATTTAATTGCTGTTAAAAAAAAAAATATATAAATTAAGTCCAACAAATATATTACTTTTAAAATGTTATAATTATTGTTATTTATTATTAATAAATGGGGGGACAGAGAACTAAAACCTTGTACTCAATTTAAACTACAGTTGGTTAAAAATGTACTAAATCACAAGTACAAGTAATGGAGCCAAAATTGTAACTGAAAGTATAAAGTACACATTAAAAATACCACTCAAAGTACCAGTTTTGCTAAATTTTAGTAACATTTAGTTTTACATGTCAATCTGCAAATTCTCTCAGTGCCGGGACGTTATGATTTTAAAGTTGCACCATGTAACATTTTGTTTAGGGGTCTGTCACCTGTTTGTTTCTATGGATATGTCATTGCTCTGCCTGGAATGTTTCACAGTATGACTTTAAACATCTTAAACTTCTACTTTACATTTATTCAATTACAGGTGGTTTTAAAGCTCAAAAAATACCTTGAAAAACAAACATTCTGACTGTGAGCGGGGTTTGCCTCTCCACAGATCCGACCTGTAACTTGGTCTAGTTTGGTCTCCATGAAGATAGAAAGGTTTAATGCCATATTATGAAACATTTCAGACAAAGCAATAATCTCCAGTGAAGTAAAGCATTTGACAAATCCTAGACCAGAAAAGTTACACAATGCACCTTTAATTATATATTTATAGACTTGCACTCAATTACCAAATTTATAAATCTACTCCAAAAAATTATAATTGCGCCAAAAACATCAACTCCATCACTGTAATTTGAATATTTGTACTTAATTACTAAAAACAAAACAAAACTGCAAAACCAGTAATTTAGATTTCTTCAAATTTTTCTAAATTATTACAAAATTATTAGAGCTCAAAAATACCTTGAAAAACAGACATTCTGACTGTGAGCGGGGTCGCCTCTCCACAGTAACTCCACCTGTAACTTAGTCTGGTTTGGTCTTCATGAAGATAGAAAGGTTTAATGCCATACTGTGAAACATTTCAGACAAAGCAATAACATCTTCAGTGAAGTCAAGCATTTGACAAATCCTCCACCAGAAAAATTCCACAATGCACCTTTAAGTATATATTTATAGACTTGCACTTAATTACCAAATTTACAAATCTACTAAAGAAAAAAAAATGTAATTACCCCAAAAACATAGACTCAATCACAGTAATTTGACTATTTGCACTCAAAAAAAAAAAAAAAAAAAAAAAAAAAAAACAACAAAAAAACAACAACTGCAAAACCTGTCATTTAGATGTCGTCAAATATATTCTAAATTATTAATCTTTTTCAAACATTGCTATCCGTTTATTCTCTGAGCTCCGGCCCCTCGGTAGAACGAAGAGGAAGACGTCGTGCATTAATCTGTAGCCGGTAATTAGCACGACTTTAAATGTAGAAGAAGGTCAAGGTCAAGTTTTATTTATATATACACATGCCCCAAAAGTGCTTAAAGCTGAACTGTGGAACGTCAAATGCTTTTCTCCATGGAGATATTATCGCTTCGTCTGGAATGTTCCACAGTATGGTATTTATAAACCTTTCTATCTTCATGGAGACCAGACCAGACCAAGTTACAGGTCACATCTGTGGAGAGGCGACCCCGCTCACAGTCAGAATGTTGTTTTTCTAGGTGTTTTTGTGCTATAAAACCACCTGTAATTGAATAAATATAAAGTAGAGTTGTTTAATGTCACAGTGTGGGACATTCCAGGCACAGCAATGACGTATCCATAGAAACAGTGCACCGTTAACTAGTCTTTTACAAGTAACTTGCATGATTTCAAGGTCGAGGTTTATTTCTGTAGCACAAGAATATAAGAAAAACATAAGTAAACACAGTAAAGAAGTGAGTATAATTCTAAAAATGTAATTGCAATTAGTTTTAAATTACTCAAATGACTTCACTAGCTCTCGTTTTTTCACACTGGTTTATAACTCAAGCCTGTACATTGTAAGTATTTGTGTTTTTAAGGTATTTTTGAACTACAAAGCGCCAGTAATTGAACAGATGCATGGGCGACTCAAAAAACCCAAGAGCAAATTTCAAACACAAAAACGATTCTAAATGTAAAAACATGGGTTGCAATAAATAAAAGCAGAATAAACCACTTTAGTTCTTAATTTGCATCTGTAACGAGTCATTAAAAGTCATTAATTCAACCTTTTACATCTTAAATCCAGTGGTGGAAGAAACTGAAAGTAGTAAAGTACTGTACTTAAGTTGACATTTGAGGTATTTGTACTTTACTTATGTTTTATGTTTTAAAATGGATACTTTTTACTTCTACTTCACTACAGTTGAGAGCAGGTGTATGTCCTTTCTACTCCACCACATTTTTATTTTTCAACAGGACTGAAAAGTTAAAGTATTTATGGGTATATCTATGACACGTTCATAGTCTGAGTGAACTAAAATATACAAATAAATAGAGATCTCTTTATTATTTGAACTCTAGCTATTCATTTGTTTCTATTGAACAGAATTCTGCAAAAATCTTTATCAAAATTACTAAAATTATTAAAATTACTTAAGTATTATTACACCTCAGACTTTGCGTGAAATACATTTACTTTTTACTCTTTCAAACGAGTACTTTCATTCTTTAGATAAGTCGATGTTTTTCATGTTATAATTTAGTTGTTTGTTTTTTTTGCTCTGGTATCTGTACCTTTACTTAAGTAACAAAATTGAGTACTACTTCCATTTATTGTCTAAATAGAGTGTTTTTTAATTATCATTGTGGTATCAGAATGGGTATTGAGTATCCCTTAGTACTGCTTAGTATCACACACTACAATATTACTTGTAACTGAGTATAATTCTAATCAAGTAATTGCAATTAGTTACAAATTACTCAAATTACTTCAAGAGCTCTCGTTTTTTCACACTGGCTTATAACTCAAGTTGATTTTCTATAGTTTTATCTTTGTGTTCTAACTTCGGTAACACTTTATTTTAGAGTACACTTATTAACATCTAACTACCTGCTAATTATCATAGTTATAGATGTTAATTTGTCATTAATTAGTATTTATTCAGCCCTTATTAATGTCTAATTCCCCGTAATCTTATTCTGCTATTAGTTAGACATTTACAAACACTTATTTCCTATTAATACACTTCTTATTATTGCTTATTAATATGATACTAAGTCATTTTTGTCCATGAATTATGATTCTAATAAACTCTAATAAATAAGCGTGTGGCCATACCATCTTGTCAAAGCCTGATCCTGTCTGATCTCAGAAGCTGGTCAGTACTTGGATGGAGACACTGGGAAAATCAGGAGCCACAGGGGGCGCCAGTCATAAAAACTGTTGTCGTGTCCTTAGGCAAGACACTTCACCCACATTGCCAAGTATGAAAGTGGTGTGTGGGTGAGTGATGGTGGTGGTTGGAGGGGCCGATGGCGCAGATTGGCAACCTCGTTTCCGTCAGTCTGTCCCAGGGCAGCTGTGACTACAGTAGTAGTTTACTACCACCGGGTGTGGAGTGAATGAATAATGAACTGTAAAGTGTCTTTGAGTGTCTAAAAAAGCACTATTATTATTATTAGTATTAGTATTAGTATTAGTATTAGTAAGCGTGTTATTAAGGACTAGTTGCACAAGAAATGTAGTTTTGACTTATTTGCACTTAATAAATGTAGCTTAGTCTCATGTAATAAAACATGAGAGGTGTTAATAGAGTCCAACCATGAATTAAATCAGCTAAATTTATTTTTAAGTAAAAAACATTTCTTGTGCAGCTAGTCCTTAACAACACGCTTATTACCTTATTACCAAAAGCTGATTAGAATCATAATTCATGGACAAGAATGGTCTAGTATCATATTAATAAGAAGCAATAAGGAGTGTTTTAATAGGAAATAAGTGTTTGTAAATGTCTAACTAATAGCAAAAAAAAAAAAGTGTTTTAGGCCTGGAGCCAGGTTCACTCCTCAGGATGTTTTTTGCTGCCTTTTTTTCACTTTTATTTCCTGTTATCTTATATCTTGGGCCATCACAAGTTGATAGGGACCACCTCCAACTCAGCCCCGTTTGGTCTCAGGGCCCAAAAAACTTTTTAAGAAAAGCTATTTGTGAAATGATGTAACTGTAAATATTAACATACTATAACTGCATAAATGGTCAAATAACCCTAAAATGTTGCATGCTGTATCCTGACACATGGGGGAAACTAGCAGAAAAACATTCTGAGGCTTGCTGCCTTTCTGTTGTCAAATATCACCCTCAACATACCCCAAAAGACAAAAAAAATGTCTGTTTGCCTTACAAATTGTCATCAAAAGTGATCATTTTCCAAGTATTTTATTGCATATATCACTGCCGCAAATGTACATGAAAAACTTCCCAAGTTTATAAGCTTCAAGAGGGAAATCTAGAGGGAAACAGCTGCTATGAAAAAAGTTCTTCACTGTACCTCAAATCGACCACCTGGCTCCCGGCCTATTTGTAAATGTCTAACTAAAAGCAGTTTATGGGGAATTAGACATTAATAAGGGCTAAATAAATACTAATTAATGACAAATTAACATCTACAACTATGATAATTAGCAGGTAGTTAGATGTTAATAAGTGTACTCTAAAATAAAGTGTTACCGAAGTTAGAACACAAAGATAAAACTATAGAAAATCAACTTGAGTTATAAGCCAGTGTGAAAAAACAAGAGCTCTTGAAGTAATTTGAGTAATTTGTAACTAATTGCAATTACATAATTAGAATTATACTCACAGTTACAAGTAATATTGTAGTGTGTGATACTAAGAAGTACTAAGGGATACTCAATACCCATTCTAATACCATGATAACAATAATTAAAAAACACTTTTTAGACAATAACTGGAAGAAGTACTCAAAATAGTTTAAGTATCACATGAAAAAAAAATCTACTTAAGTAAAAATATTAAAGTACCTGTTTAAAAATGTACCGTAAGACTAAAAAGTAAATGTATTTCACGCAAAGTCTGAGGTGTAATAAAGCTTTAAATGTAGTGCTTTTGATAAAGATTTGTGTAGAATTCTGTTCAATAGAAACAAATGAATAGCTAGAGTTCAAATAATAGAGAGATCTGTATTTATTTGTATATTTTAGTTCAGTACAGGAACCTGCTCTCAAATGTAGTGAAGTAAAAGTATAAAAGTATCCATTTTTAAACATACTTAAGTAAAGTACAAATATCTACTTAATTACAGTACTTGTTTTCTTCCACCACTGGATTTAAGCTGTAAAATGTGCAATTAATGACTTCTAATGACTCGTTACAGATGCAAATTAAGAACTAAAGTGGTTTATTCTGCTGTTTATTTATTGCAACTCATGTTTTTACATTTAGAATCATTTTTGTGGTTTAAATTTTCTCTTAGGGTTTTTGAGTCATAAATTTGTTATTATTATCGTTTATCGTCTTTATTTACTTAAGTAAAATACCGTGCATATATATAAAAGGTGCATTGTGTAACTTTTCTGGTGGAGGTTCCGTCAAATACTTTTATTCATGGAGACGTTACTGCTTCATCTGGAATGTTTCACAGTGTGGCATTAAATCTTTCTTCACGGAGCCCAGTCAGAATGTCTGTGTTTCTAGATATTTTTGAGCTATAAAAGCACCTGTAACTGAATAAACGTAAGGTAGAGCTGTTTAACGTCTACTCCCTACTTGCTTGTCTCCATGGAGATGTTGTTTCTCTGCCTGGAATGTTCCACAGTAGGGCATTAAACATATCGCCCATGCATGTGTTCAATTAAAGGTGGTTTATAGCTCAAAAACACCTTAAAAAAACACAAATCCTTACAATGTGCAGGCTTGCTTCTCCATAGATCTGACATTGACCTCTCTCCATTGTAGTTTATTTACGTACTACAAAACAGTAATATCTCCATGGAGACAAACACAATGTACACAATGGACCTTAAAACTAGCCTGATTCTGACACCTAGCAGTGTTAGAATTTGTTCGCTCAACGGTAGGCGGATACTTTTTTCCATTTAACCAATCGCTGCTATTTGGTCATGACGTATGTAATGCACCACTAACGGGGATAACTGGTATATTAAGCTTTTCCCAAATCCCGTAGGAAGAAGGACAATAACGTCTTTCCACTTGATAAAATTCACCAAACATTCTCTTTGTTCCGGCTTTAAATCCTCGATCTCGGGAATCGTTGCCAACACTGAATATATGGCTCTTCGCTGATTGGCTGGTGCCTGAACTCACACTTCCGGGGTTCTTATAAACCGTCTAGTGTATTCTGATTCCTGACCGAGTCGCTGGAGAGAAATGAAATTGAGCGAAGGCACTAGGTGGCACCAGCCTGGCTGCCTTCATGCTGCCTTAAAGTCATAAATTTGTTTCAATATTATCTTTGTATGTACTTCACTTTTCACTTTACTTTCACTTTAAATGTGTTAACGTGAGCTGTATTTCACTGTAAAATCATGTTCTGTAGATAATCCTGAACTCCATGCACAAGTACCAGCCCCGGGTCCACATCATCAAGAAGAAGGAGCACACTGCCTCGCTGCTCAACCTGAAATCCGAGGAGTTCCGTACCTTCGTGTTCGTGGAGACGGTCTTCACCGCGGTCACGGCCTATCAGAACCAGCTGGTGAGGAGAAACACAACTACAAAAACACACAACGTCTAATACATGACACAGGCTTGATGAAACTGAGCTGAGAAAGGTACACAGAGCTTTTCTGGTAGAAGGTCTTGACTCTTGACCTGCTTGACTCCACTGTACTGTACTGTAGATGTTATTGTATTTATTTATTTATTTATTTTTCCTGGAATGTTCTACAGTATGGCATTTCATTTAACTATCTTTCTACATGGAGACCAACAGCCACGTTACCGCTTGGCCAAGTTACAGGTCAGATCTGAAGAAGTGGGCCCGCTCATTGTGAGAATGCATGTTTTTGTGGTACTTTTGAGGAACAAAAACTCTTCTAATTGAACAAATGCGAGATATATTTGTTTGAACCTCATGGAGACAAGAAAATGCCAGACCTTCCACCAGAAAAGTTACACAGTGCAGCTTTAAAATGCACATGTCCGGTTATACAGGATTGTTAAGAGTTACATTTACGAGAACATTTTTTATTACTAAAGGTGCATTGTGTAATATTGGTTAATGTTTCACAGTATGGCATTGAACCTTTCTATCTTCACGGAGACCAAAGCAGATCAAGTTACAGGTCAGATCTGTGGAGAGGCGACCCCGTTCAGAGTCAGAATGTTGTTTTTCTACATATTTTTGAACTAAAAAAAAAAAAACACCTGTAACTGAATAAAAGTAAGGTAGAGCTGTTTAAAGTCATACTGTGGAACATTATTAATTTTATGTGTCAAGTGGAATTTACTCAAATGAACTTGGCTAGATTATCGTTGTTGCAACCAAAAAGTTACACAGTAGGGATGTAACAATAACTGAAATATCGTGATATCGTATCGTCAAAAGTCTCACAATAATATCGAGAGCTGTCACAATATATCGAATTATAAGTTCCTTAAATACATTGTTATTTAGTATCAACATCTTATAAACATCGGGAACTACATATCCCATGATTCATTTCAGCACAGACAACATGAAGAAACATGTTTTTTACTTGAATTCTTGGGATTATGATGGAAATAATTCACACCAAAATCTTGTCAAAGTCTTTTAAAAGCAAAAAAAAAGTGTCCTATCTACAATTATATTAGTCTCTTCAAAATATCGCCATAAATATCGTACCGTGAGATTTGGATATCATTACATCCCTATTACACAGTGCACCTTTAAGATTCACAGCTGGATTAAAAAGTCTGATATTTTTGTTGGCTCTTTGGAGATTAATTTTAAAAAATATATCTCAAGAAATAAATACGTAAAAGCCACACCCATAGATGGAGGAACAGTAACGAACACATGTACAGAAAATATACATTTCGAATACGATTTAAAATGACTTGGGTTTATTTGACGCTTTTAAACATGTTATAATGTTGTTACCTCCTCAAAAATATACCCGAAGTTGTGTTTTGCTTCATTCACACATGTTTAAGTTACCCTTTAAAAGCTTCGTTTCACCTTGTGATGTCATGAAGCGGTAGTTTACAGAACAACAGATGCACTTTTCCAGGCAAAATGATTCTAGTGAAGGTGTATGAAGTTAAAACGTGTGGGGCTGAAACAAAACACAGCTCCAGGTATGTTTGTGATGAGGAAACATTATAAGAATGATCAGAAAATAGTGTCATACGGGCCCTTTAAAGCTCCCGTGTGTCCATTTTGTGTTTTGTTGCGGCAGTAACTAAAAAGCAGAGGGAACTACATAGACCATGATCCTTTGTTGTTCTAGAGCAGAATACATAAAACAGGGATGGGCAATTCTTTTTTTTCATAGGGCCACATGAGAAACAAAATATTGTGGAGGGCCGGGCCAAAATGCTTATCTCAATTCTACACAATATTAATTTTATTTCTTTATAATAATAGCAAAATAGTAAATTGTTTTGACGAGCTGTCAGAACGGTAAGAGTTTATGTTATGACTAAGCAATGAAAACGTGAGGATGCCTTACAAAAATGTCATTTAAAAACAGCTCTAAAATAAAAGCAGTGCAGCTTTTGTCCATGCATGAGGTCAAATTATAAAATATGTTTATGTTGTAATTCCAAATGAGCTTAAAGGGGCTGGTCAAAGTCAACCAAAGGGCCGTATGGGGCTCTGGAGCTGGACAATGCCCAGGTCTGAGTAAAGACTATATATATGAGTGGACATAGCTAACGCACTAGCCTCATGCCACGAGGCTCTTCCGGCTCCTTCTGACTCTGGCTCCAATTGACTTACATTAGGATCTTGTCGTCCCTCTCTCTGTAACTGCTGCAGTGAGCCTCGTCATTGTGGTCTTACAATGTTCATATTAACCTGCGACACATGATCCTGAATAGTTTTTGTCCATCAGAAAAATCCTATTCATAACCGAAAGCCTGGCTCCAGATTCTCTTGTGTAACGGTGAGCATCATGAGCCTCATTTGAGCGGCGCTGAAATCTGTGGGTGACGTCACACTCACTTAGTCCACTTCTTTTATACAATCTATGGGTCTGACGTAAACAATATCTGTATTATTATTACACCACTATCACAAAACACTTATAAACCATGTCTGTGTGTAACTTTATAAGGCTCAGTACATTAGACTTTACATTTCAGAAAATTCTATGCAGGATTCATTAATAGTTTATTCTCAAAAATTTACATTTCTTGATTTCACAGTGGGGGATTACAATAAAGCTGTGTCTAAAGCAGTTTTAGTACGTTAGCTGGATTTCTGTTCTTTTCTTTATTTTTGTCTTCTGTCTTGTGTGTTGAATTATCTTTGGACTTATAAACACATCAGAAACAAACAAAAGTCCAGTTGACCTAAATTATTTTCAGTGTTTTCATACCTGAATGAGTAAAACATGAACTTAGATTCAACCGCCTTGATTTCATTTGGATTCCTTGGTTCGGTCCTGCCTGATCCTGACCCTGCATGTGTGTGTGTGTGTGTGTGTGTGTGTGACCGTGTGTGTGTGTGTGTGTATTTTCAGATCACCAAACTGAAGATCGACAGTAACCCGTTCGCCAAAGGCTTCCGAGACTCGTCGCGGCTCACGGACATGGAGAGGTACTGGGGGCTCCTGCACTTCACACACACATTGATAAACTAACACACTCTCTGACACGCAACACACACGCTCACACACCACACACACTGACACTGGGTTGGCCCTTTTAATTCGATGTAATAAGACGATTTGATTGGCTTATGTAGGCCGGAGACATCTCATCATATTTGACATTTTATTCGATTTTATTTCAGGACAAATGACACAAAATTTATCAAATTTGTGGATCAAATTTATGATAAGTTAACTGTTTAACTGTTTCTATCTTCATGGAGACCAAACTAGGCCATGTTACAGGTCAGATCTGTGGAGAGGCGACCCCGCCCACAGTCCAAATGTTGTATTTCAAGGTGTTTTTGAGCTATAAAACCATCTGTAATTGAATAAATGTAAAGTAGAGCTGTTTAATGCCGTACTTTGGAACATTCCAGGCAGAGCAATGATAATATCCATAGAAACAAGAAGGTGGCGGACCCCCAACAAAAAATTTCAGCGATGAAAACAACAAATATCAGTATCGGCGCTGAAAAAGCTTGAACTATTGCGGGCATATTCTTTCTAACGCATTCTCGTAGAACAATAACGCCGCCTGTCCAGCATCCGGATCAAATTTCACAACATTTTGATTAAAAACAAAACAAAAATTTAATTTAAAAAAGCATGCGCACACTTCACTTCCTGTCATTCTCAATTCCAACGCAAACTCTGCCGACGATCAGCCGACAAAACTCAACCGTCTTCGCTCGCTCCTCTCTTTCTGAACATCCCGAAGCGCTGAATCTGGACCGGCAGACGCCCCCTTCCTCCTCCTCACTCACTCACTCTGTATCCCTCCTCCCTCTCCTCCCCTCCTCCGTCCTCTCCTCCGCTCTGTCGCTCCCTCTTTTCGGGCCTGTGAATTAGCCCTGATCAATCGCTCTTCGGGGAGATGCAGAAATCGCATTAGTCTGGAGTCGCCCGCTGCACTAAAACAAACTCTAATCCAATCGGCCGCTCTGACTGATTGAAAACAGCGTGCCCCCGCCACCCCCGTCGCCCCCTCCGCTCCTCTCCCCTCCCCTCCCCTCGCCGCCCTCTCCCCCTCTCCGCCGTACGCCCGGAGAGGAGGGAGCACTGATAAAAATACACACATTTGTACTCGTTCGTTGACAGATATTGCACTTTCCTAACCTGATTGGGGCCTGCTGGTTGAGGAGAGAGGGAGGGAGATGGACACAAAGGGAGGGAGGAGAGAGGGATAGACGGAAAAGGAGGGAGGGGGGGTTTAATGTGGACGTATGGCGCACACTCTCGCTCCAAAGACCCAACAATTTGCGTCGTGGAGTTTGAGAAGAGCTGTCTGACAAGATTCGAATGAGCTAATGTACTTGTGGGAGGCAGGGACATGCAAACACACACACATGCATACACACGTACACATACACACACACCCACACAGACGCACATGCACTCACACACACATCCACACACACGCAGAAAAGGCATAGACAGCCACACACTAACACTAACTTTTAATGGTATTTTCTGACATGTGGCCTTTCACTTTTTTGTAGTAGTACTTTATTTGGTCATTTTGCAGTACTACAAAACAAAACAAAACTACAATACTACAACCCCATGGATCATGACCGAAAGGGTTTAGGCTGAAGTAAAAAGTACTTTTAACACCAAACTCTATTAAACTCTTAAATTACATTTAATACATCACACTCACTACATACTGTACACGCAACTCATTTCAGACACTTCATCTGAAGTTAGAAGTGAAGAATTAAACCAACAACCTCTCAATATAAAAATGTTTGACATGGCGACATCTTTCACCACTGAACACACACTGTTTTAGGCTACGTCCACACGATAATGGATTGTAGCTGAAAAAAATTTGCGTCCACACACACAGATGTGTCGGATCAATAAATATTCACTTCCAGACGACAACGGAGCACTGAGAGAAAACAATGTAATACATCTTCCACACCTGTATGTGGCGCTGTTAACAATGATAATAATGTTTAATAATGCAGATCTCATCACAGTTTTTCTTTTTTTTTTTTTTTTTTTTACTTTAAGGTAATTTAGCCTATTTTAGATGTATCACAGTAATATAGACGTTTTGTTTTGCAAAACTTAAACATGAGTTTTTGTTTTTAGCCATAAGATTTGGATGAGAATTATTAGAATAACTTGATCTCAAAATGCAACAGTTTAGTTATCTGTGCGTAATCTTCGTGTGCATATTCTGTGGTGCGTGTTGTTAGTATTAGTGTTAGCACCGTGTCTTGGTTGCTGGGCGACAGGAGCGGCTCCGTGGGCTGCACCTGTCACATTTCGGCAACAGTCTTGTGGTCCGCGGAGGCGAGTTCGAGGGCTGCAGCCTTCACTGTATCAGAAGACCCTGGCAATGACGGGGTCGTGACGTCTTTGTTTTCCAAAAGCTGCGGTTTGCTTGTCCACACAACAACGCAACACCGGCGTTCTCAGATGTGTCCACTCTGGAACCCGTTCTAAAAAAAACTCCATATTCACCCACCCAGAATGCCAGCTCCATGTGGATGAAAGGCCAAAACGAATACAAACTTCACAGCTTTGACCAAAAACCCTTGTGGTGTGGACAGGCCCTTAAAGCTTTAGAAAATGCTGCCAGTGTTGTGTGCTCGATCCAAATACACGGACAATGAAAGCAGAAATATAATGATTAAAACTGGAGCAAAGTAAAAGGCAAATGCACTTGGTGGAGGGTGGAGAACACAAGCCTCTTCTTTTACAGTGGAAACAGCTGAGTGCGTGTTGTTGTTGAGATGTGTAGAGATTTATGTTGGGCCTGTGCTTTTGACTCTGCTGCAGGGAGAGTGTGGAGAATCTGATCCATAAACACTCGTACGCGCGCTCCCCCATCAGGACTTACAGCGGAGACGAGGAGAGTCTGGGCGAGGACAGCCACGCCACACACACCAGAGGTACAGCGCACTCTGAACATACACAAACTGCACTTTTAAAGAGCCCATGTTACACAAAATGGATTCTTCTGAGAATGTTAGAATGTTGTTACCTCTTCAAAAACAGACCTGGAGTTGTGTTTTGTTTCATTCATTCATGCATTATTCATTCATTCCTGTATTATCAGTCTTTCTACATCTCCAAAGCTCAAAACGCTCTGTACAACCTTGTGATGTCATGAAGTGGTAGTTTTCAAGTGAACAGCTCCTTTTACCTTTTGTTCAGTACAGATTGGCAACATCAGGGCTGAAATGATTCTAGGGAAGGTGTATGGAGTTTAAAAACAGACTGGAGCACTTCCTCTACCACCACATGACATCACAAGGTGGAACAGACAAAGGGTGGTCGAGACTTTGGAATGACCTGCCTGAGGAGATAAGGCTCGCACCATCAGTATTATCTTTTAAATCACTTCTTAAAATTTATTTTTATCAGTTGGCCCTTTTTTAGCTGGTTTTATCTAGATTTTACTGCTTATTTATTTTTATTATCTTTTATCAAGTTATTCATTCAGTGATGTGGTCGCTGTATTGGACCATTGTGCTGAAGAGGGAGCTGAGCCGAAAGGCAAAGTTCACAATTTACCGTCAGTCTGCGTTCCTCCCCTCACCTACGGTCATGAGCTTTGGGTAGTGACCGAAAGGACAAGATCGTGGATACAAGCGGCCGAAATGAGTTTCCTCTGCAGGGTGGCTGGGCGCTCCCTTAGAGATAGGGTGAGGAGCTCAGTCACACGGGAGGAGCTTGGAGTAGAGCTGCTGCTCCTCCACGTCGAGAGAGGAGCAGTTGAGGTGGCTCGGGCATCTGTTGGGGATGCCTCCTGGACGCCTCCCTCAGGAGGTGTTCCGGGCATGTTGCACCAGGAGGAGGCCCCGGGGAAGACCCAGGACACACTGGAGGGACTATGTCTCTGGGCTGGCCTGGGCATGCCTCGAGGTCCCCCAGAAGAGCTGGAGGAAGCAGCAAGGGTGAAGGAAGTCTGGGAGACCCTGTTTAGACTGATGCCCCCACAACCCAGCCCCGGAAAAGTGGAAGAAAATGGATGGATGGATAGAAAAGTTATCTATTATAATTAATTAATTGATTGCTTCATGCTATTTTTATTCTTTGCTGCTTGTACAGCACTTTGTAAACCTTGTTTTTAAAAGGGATTTATAAATATAGATTTATTATTATTTTCCATTTGAGAGAAGAAATCAGCCTAAATATGCAGGGTTTATGTGTTAAATATGTGTGAATGAAACAAAACACAACTCCAGGTCTGTTCGTGATGAGGAAACTACATTAGAATATAGATAAGAAAATGAC